ACCCTCAAGCTTTTCCACGATTTCTCGGTTTGGACAAAAACGCCATGGCTGCCGCTTTTGTCATCAGATGGCACCAATGACGGAACCCCACCACCAGTTCGCGAGTACCTGTACAAGCTTCCCTTAGCCAACAGGAACGACCTGAGCTCAGACAGACAGCGTGAGGCCTAGAATTGTCCGTCGTCCGTCCGGCCGGCTGTCCAAACTTTGTGAGCAGCTAAGCTGAACGACCGCCTCTTTCCGGCCGCCTTTGAAGAGACCGCGACTCGGACCCTTCTGAACCCGACTACTTGTCTTGCTTTCTTTGAACAACCTTCGTCTTCCTTCGTCCGATTCATATTTTTACTTTTGCTTTTCCAATCGCAGGTGGAGGCCTGATGCAATAGTAACCATGGAGCATGTCCACGGAGTCGATGTTAGTTGGATGACCCACGGGAATCCAAAAGGTTCGCAGCCAACCCGCACTGCCACAGTCCGGAGTCCGGAGCTCCTGCACATCTTCTTTTGATCGTTTCGCACAACTACACAACGCCGAGAAATGGGAATATCATGTCAAACGAGTCACTAATGCATCTTCCGATAATAACAGACAAGCTCACAAAAGCCGTGCGGCAGCGGTCGCTGTCTCAACAGACACGCGACTCGAGTACGCTGTCTGCTCCCTCGGATTCACAACGCCCAGCAACAACAGCCAATGGTGCCCAGATAGATTCCTCAATGAGCCAGCCGGCGGTACAGCAAATCCCCCCGAAACAATCAACACCAGTCCGCCCGTCCTTCACGAGAACGAGCTCAGACGAGAAGCGGGCGCCCCAGCCTGGGACATCCCCGCAGAGGAGGGGTTCCTGGTTCTCCAATATCTCGTCCAAATTCTCGTCGAGCGACCGAGTCCAGAGCCCTCCGCAAGCAAACAACACATCACCAAAACCCGCCGAGCTCTCCATACCAAAGGCGAACCCGGCCAAGAATGCCGTCCTCCAACATGCCTCCAAGCACGAAGGCGAAGGTCCCTATACCCCAGCCCCGCCACGGTCACAGGCTGGCATCCTGCACGTCCTCCGAAGGCTGTCGTCCGCAAATGGCAGTCTTAATCCGCCCGCAAGACCACACAACCATGGACTGGTCGAAAGACGAGTGTTGAACGTTGATCAGCACAGGGAACGGTGCGATATCTCGGGTTTGAATCAGGCCAAGCTCCGGAGGGTCGCCTTTTGTGTCGACGTTGAGATTGCGCCAATGCCGAAATATGTTGACGGGCCGTCGTGGGCCAAGAACTGTTCGTCTGACAAGTCCGACAAGGATCAGAAGAAAAAGATCAAGGAGAAGGGCGAGGGCGAGGCACTGAAAAATCCGAAAGTGGTCGAATGCCAAAAGGACCAGGATGGCGAGATCAAGGCTATTGGAGAGGAAGTGCCCAAGGAGCCTACAAAAGAGGGTGCCGGTGGCGCCGCAGAGGTGGTACAAGGGGCCTCCAACAAGGTGACAAGCTCTGAGAATCAGACAGAGAAGGGCAACGCCGAAAGCAAAAAGAAGGAGAAGAAGAAAAAGAGCGAGGAGGAGCGGAAGGCTAGGAAAGAGAAGAAGCGCAAGCTCGCTGAGGCAAATGGTACGATTCCGATGGAGATCCACATGGATAGCGACTCTTCGTCCTGCGAGACTGTCCCCCGCCCAGAGACCCCGAGAACACAGGCAGTGCCCACAACCAACCCCGTTAGGATATACCGGCGGTGTTGCCAGTTGAGAGAAACTCCTATTCTTAAGAAGATTACGGAGCAGCTGGTGAACCCGGCAAATCAGTCCGAGGAGCCTGGTATGATCGAGAGGCTAGACCTCACCGGATACTGGATGCAACTGCCGGACCTTGTCACACTTGGAGACTATCTAGCTGTCGTTCCGGTCAAGGAGGTCATCTTGGAGAACTGCGGTTTGGCAGATGAGGGACTTCGTGTGATTCTTGCCGGTCTACTAGCGTCAAGGAAGGTCACTGGAAAGAAGCGGAAACCTGTGCCCGAGGGACTAACACATCAAGGCGGAGTGGTCGAGAGGTTAGTTCTCAAGAACAACAAACTCGGCCCCGAGGGCTGGAAACATATATGTCTCTTCATTTATCTATGTCGGACACTCAAGATCTTGGATCTGTCAGGGATACCCTTTCCACAAACACCTGCGAGCAACCGCCAAAACGGAATTACGAATGGAGCGCGACAATCAATGGATACTTGTCGACTTTTATCCAAATCGGTTGGGGAACGTCTCGGAGGTTCAACGCTTGGACTGTTGAGCCTCGGTGAGACTGGTCTCAACGCGGAGCAGCTCGGGTTAGTCATTGACGGAGTTATTAGTTGCGGTATCAAGAGACTGGGCCTTGCGCATAACAATATCCAGGGCGAAGGACTCGATCACGTTGCACGGCTACTGCGCAGCGGTATTTGTGAAGGTCTGGACTTGGGCGGCAACGATCTCAGAGATCAACTTGCCGTTCTCGCCGAAGCATTACAGGGAGAGGATTGTCCACTGTGGGCTCTTAGCCTGGCGGATTCGAACCTCATACCCTCGTCGCTGTGCAAGCTGTTACCAAAACTGGTGAAGTTGCAGCACTTCAGGTTTATCGACCTTTCACACAACCACGAACTGTTCAGTTCGAATCCCAGTGCCATCTCAGTGCTGAGAAGGTAAGTCGAAGCTCTTTGTCTATCCGATATAACCTCGCTAACCTCGTTACCGCTACAAGATATTTACCTAAGATGGCATGCCTGAAACGCATTCATCTTGCCGATTGTGGTCTCAGTACCGAGCAGGTGATTGCACTTGCGGAGATTTTACCCGAGATCCCAGGGCTTGCCCACGTCAGCTTCCTCGAGAACCCACTGGTTGTTGAAGTTGCGACGAATGCGCACACGGAAGAGACGAAAGAAGAAGCCTGCGCGCTCTTCGCGTCGCTACTGGCTGCTGCTAGGGTGTCGTCCAATCTCGTTGCTGTGGACATTGAGGTGCCCAGTGAGCAGTCGAGCGATCTAGTAAAGGCCATGGCTAGACAAGTCGTCGCCTACTGCCTGCGCAACATGGAACACCTGCCCTTGCCGGTGCCAGAAATGGCGGCAATCGCCGTCCACACGGAGACGCCGCTTTCAGCATCGTTCTCGAGTGCGGAACTACAGTATCCCGATGTGCTCCAACGCCTTGTGGGCCACGATGTCACGCAGCCCGGCGACGATCTGGATGCCGATTTGGACGTCGCGCCTGACGACGATTATGTCATCGGAGGCACTGGAGTCGTCAAGGCCCTGGCGTGCTGCCTGAAGAACCGCGGTGACGAGTCTAGGAGACAGTCTGGGGAGTTTATTCGGGACGTTGAAAACGGTGTGTCGCACCCAAGACCGACGTTGCCGAGTGGTAAGGCAAAGGAAACGTCGAAGCATCTGTTGTTGAGTGCGAGGAGGATCAGACACCGATTGCAACCGGCTATTATCAAGGCGAAGGCGGTCGATCATGGGTCGCATGCTTATCGTGAGTTTCTTGTCTCGAACAGGTTGGGATGTCATTTGCTAACATCGGTGCCATTATTAGACCGCCTGATATTCCTCGACAATACTCTCGAGGGTATTATTAAGCGCTTTGAGGACGAGTTCCCGGACACCAGAGAATCGGTGGACAGTGCAGTAGGCTTCTCATCGTCAAATTCGGACGAAGAGGACGCCGTGGAGAAGCAGCTTACCTTGTCGCCGTCGGCTGAAGCCGACTTCATGGTCGAAGACGATCAGGAGAGCGCGGGTCTGGAGATCCGGACCCCGTCGCTGGTACGCTCGGACTCGACGCTGAGTTTGTCGTCGAAAGCGCTGGCCAACGAAGAGGGCCGGGTCCTTCGGGCAGGCCATAAGTTCAGGGCTGGGATCGTCAAGCCTGCGCACTATCCTCTTCTCTCTGGGGTGGAGCTGGTGGGTGCAGACCCGCGCCATGTGAGGTTGTTGCATGAGTTATTGGATGATATTGGTGATGAGTCGTTGATCCAGGATGCCAAGGAGAAAGGTGTCGTGAGGGTGTTTCAGGAGAGGAAGGAGGATATTTTGAAGTTGTTGAAGGAGGCGGATCCTATCTATTGGGACCGGTTCGTCGAGAGTCAGGAGATGGCGAGGGCGAATGTTGCACTCCATGCGCCGCCGGGGGCGGATGGGAAGGGACCTGCTGCTGATGCTAGGACGGAGAAGGATGGTGCTGGTGCTACTGCTGCTGTGGTTCCGGCGGCGAGTGAGGGCCGGGGGGATTCGGCGGTTCATGACTGATTTGTTGGTGAAGCTCTTGGTTGGAGTGGTTGTAGATTAGTGTCGTAGGGTCCAGGTGCCGAGTCCTGGGTGATCCTATTACCTCGGTTTCTTTTATCAGTCGTTTTGGGCTGTTTTTTATTTTTCATTTGTGTTGTCACCATCCCGTCGTTATTGGGAACGCTTTTGGTGGTTGGTTCTGGGCAAACGGCTTAGCGATCAGGGGGGTTGGTTTATTTATTTCAGGGGTCAAATAGGGATATACAAGACAATTACTAGTGCTGTTCTCATACACTCAGTCAAGCACGACAAGGAAACAACGCGCGCGAGACAAAAGTGAGAAAGTGGGGTACGGATGGAGTTCAGTGACGTGACTACTTCCAGATAAATTTGTAGTTCTTATCGTTGACCTCTTTCTTTCTGCACGAGCGTGAGCCCTATCATTGGTTTGAGTCACGACTCACAAGATGCTTGCCCGGCCTCGTTCTGGGTGGTTGGTCGGGAGTCCGACATATGTATCTAGGTAGGCAAGGTGACATATCTTAAGGGTACTCTGTAGATACGGTAGGTGTCAACCTGAGGTGCTGGCTGGGATCAGGTCCGTAGCAGGTACCCTAGGTATCTCCATTTATCTCTCCACCAACCCAACCAACCCCCCCTTTTCCCATAACTATACCTACTTCTTTAAACCCACTTCGTCGACAGTTCTTCTATCAATTCGTGAAAGAGACGGATCCACAAGGTCGGGTGGCGCAATTGGTAGCGCGTTACTTTCCGGTTGAAATTTGAACTGAACTTTGTGAAGTCTATAACATTCTCAGTTGGTAAAGGTTCTGGGTTCGAGTCCCAGCTCGATCGGTCTTTTCACTTTTTGTTGACGGTTGGCTGCTCATCACTCAACCAGTGAGCTTTCTTTCTTTTAGCATTTTCTCCTTTCAGCGTTTTATTCTTCCTCTGTGTTCCTCTTTCTGGCTTGTTTTTTCTTCTCCCCTTGTTTTTGGACTTCCTTGGTTCCGTATTCATCTCTTCTGTCTGCTTTCAGGCACCAATCGTCACTCAATGCAAGGAGTCTCACTGATCCATACAGGACCCAATTCAAGTTCTCCGTTGAACGGCTTGTCTTATTTCTTGATGCCTATCAAGTCCAAAAATGGTCTTTATCTCAATATGGCCGTCCACTTCCCTAAGACATATTGGGGCCGCGTTACTCTCACTTAGATAGATATACGGATTACTTTGCTCTACCTCCCTGGGTTAGATAGGACAGGAAAATAAATAGCTGGAAGTGTCATGTTTACATCGTTGAGAGATAAGATCTAACAGAGTAACTTCCTGCAATTTTGTCCATATCTGTTCTACTGTCCAGTTCTCCTTCCAAAATCCAATCCAGTGGCCCCCATGTTCCATGACAACCTACACCTAGACGCCAACACTTTGAGGAGAACAAAGATGAAGAAAACATAACTGGCTGGGTATCTAATTTATTCTCCTGTTCTCCCTAGGTACTTACTTCTTCGGAACCTCAAACTTCTTCGGGTCCATATTCAACTTACACAACCTCGCCACGCACCCGCTCAACTGCAACAAAGTCTGCACACCCTCCAGGATCTTCATATGTGTGAACCCAATCTCCTTGATAAACTCCAGCTTAGCATGCTCGCTCAGCGTCGGAATCGTCTTGGTCACCTTGAACATGGTACTGATAATATCATGACTCGAATAACCCAGTGTCCAGAGCTCGCGCAGCGTATCCAGCGCCGAGTCCACGTTGCCTTCGTAGCAGGCCTTGAGCATAGCCTGCACCTTGATCGGGTGCGGCGAGTCGACGACTTTAAACACATTGTCGCCAGACACGAAACCGAAGCCCGCGAACGTCGACTGCAGATTATTGATGGCCTGGCGCATGTCGCCCTCAGCCGAGAAAACGAGCGCGGCAAGCCCGTCGTCGCTGTACTCGACCTTTTCCGCTTCGATGATTTGGAGAAGCCGATGGACGACCTGGACGTCAGTCAGCTTGGCATACCGAAGAATGGCGCAGCGCGACTGCAGCGGCTCGATGATCTTGTTGGACTGGTTGCACGCAAACGCAAAACGCGTCGTATTTGAATAAATCTCCATCGTTCTGCGCAACGCCTGCTGAGCTCCGGAAGTCATGCTGTCGGCCTCATCGAGGATGACAAGCTTGTGCCGCCCCGCCGGGAGGGTGACTTTTTTTTGGGCGAAGCCCTTGATGCGTTGCCGGACGACCTCGATGCCGCGCTCGTCGCTGGCGTTTAATTCTAGCACAGCCTCCTTGTATGCGTCGCCCAACAATTGCCTTGCCAGACACAGGACGCTGGTGGTCTTGCCGATTCCCGGCATGCCGGATATGATGACGTGCGGCATGTTGCCGTCTTTCGCGATAATTTTCAGTCGCTCGATTGTTTCGGTGTTGCCGACCACGTCGTCCAAGAAGACGGGCCTGTACTTTTCTACCCTGCAGACGCGAACAAAATGTCAATAGGTCTGTTTCAATGAGGGAAGCATGGGAACAGATAAGGAACTCACCATGGTAGCTCGTATGTGGCAGAACTGGTGGCATTGGATGTCAGGGCCTTGGACGCGGCTGTGGACGACTCGCCCTTCTCTTCTCTCGCTTTTGCTGCCGGCATGTTGGGCAATTCTGTGCTGACAAGTTCGTAATGTTATGCCTGTCGTTGTCGCTGCAGTGAACCGCTAAACTTTTGCGTTTATGGGTTGAGGGATTACAATTCAAGAGCATGTAGGTAGGCAACGAACAGCCAAGACATGGGTGTCGCGACGCGCTTGTCTTTTGCCAGTCGCGTTTCTTAAAGTGGTTTTTGCCCGGCCAGTTGGGAAGCTCAATTGTGGCTTGTGCTCTGAGTTGAGTTTTTTTTAGGGAACCCTAACCCCTATAATTCAACGTCGCCGCAGCGCCCAGCCGCCGGTGAAGTTCATCAAATAATAAATAACAAACATCTCGGAAAGTCGAAATTCATGCCATTAATGAAATTGAACCTGTGATATGTCACGAAATAAAGGACATTTTCAAACACAGTATTATACACCATAGTTGATCTGCCTAGGTATTGTACGGATAGACTAACCCTTTTCTATTGAGCCTTGTAATGGATAAACTAAAACAGCTAAGCCGTAAATATAACATAGCCCTCCTTCTAGTATTCCCCAAGCAATTGAATCTGCTCTACCTTGTTCATGTGCGGTAGTCGCCGTTTATGGTACTAATAAGTCAGAGTCAGCATATGTGAAGGGAGTGAGATGTGGTAGACGAGTTCTTACATATACTCATGGCTGTAATCACATGTCCAGTACGTGGCTTCCTTGTCGCCGGTTCCTAATCGGACCAGGATCTCGAGATCCTCGAGTTGGAGGATCTCAGCAGCCCTTGCCTAAATCGGTGCTGTTAATAGCTAATGCCAACAGTGCTTGCTAGACGCTCAGACTCACTTCATCCACCTGCTCTGGCTCACCATTCACCAGCAGTTTCAACTCGGCCGTGCCGTCGGTGGGAATAAAAGACACATTCGTTTTCTCCGGAACAATCTCAGGAACGTCGTTGACCGGCATGCCCGGCTCGGAGATGAGCGAGTAGCCAGTGGCGCACAAAATGCGGCCCCTATCATGATGTTATCAGTAAACCCATCACATTTCCGATAGTTTTCTGGGTAGCAGAAAATAAGAACGTACCAGTTTGCATCCTTGCCATATAGTGCCGTCTTGACCAACGGCGACCTGGCAATGGTGCTGGCTATCCTTCGAGCAACCTCCTCGCTCGCCGACTCGACAACACGAATGGTGACAAATTTCGTTGCTCCTTCACCATCACGTACCACCAACTGAGCAAGGTCGGCTGCAAACCCGGTCAGAACGGTGCGGAAAGCCTCGTAGTCAAGTGTGTTCTCCACAATCTCCTTCCCGCCAGCAGCGCCGTTGGCCAACAGAGCAACGGTATCGTTTGTCGAGGTATCCCCGTCAATGGTAATGCTGTTAAAGGACCGGTCGACCGCGTATTTGAGGGCAGAAGGAAGGGCGGCCGAGGACACCGGGGCATCGGTAGTGATAATGCCCAGCAGAGTGGCCATGTTGGGATGAATCATGCCAGCTCCCTTGGTCATACCGGCAATCCGGTATTTCGTTGACGGCGACGAAGGTAAGCTGAAGGTGCGAGAAATAAGCTTGGGGAAGGTATCCGTTGTGCAGATGGCCTTGGCGCAGGTCAGCCAGTGCTCGTGAGACGAACCCAGCGCACTATGGGCTGCCGGAACGTTGTTGATAATCTTGTCAATGGGAAGCCTCTGGCCGATGACGCCTGTGCTCATGACAATCGTCCCCTCGCTCTGGCCGAGGCACTTATCGGCAGCATCGGCCATCTTGGCCGCATCCTCCAAGCCGCCCTTGCCGGTGACGGCATTCGCGCACCCCGAGTTGACAAGAATGCCGTGAATTCCCTCGTTGCTCCTTTTCTGTAGGAGATTTCGGCTGAATGTGACCGGGGCAGCCTGGAATTTGTTCTTGGTGAATACGGCGGCGGCAGCGCAGGGGCGGTCTGAGGCCAGAAAGGCGAGATCCGGCTTGGTGGTGTTGCCTGGCTTCACGCCGACTATCGTTCCAGAGGCCTTGAAACCGGTGGGATAGGTCCCGTTTGTCGGCACATACTTCTTTTTGGCGGCCGGGATGGAGCCGCCAACCGGCGCGGAGTAGGACCTGGCTGAGACGTAAAATAATTGAAGATGACGGGTCAATTGAGTTCGTGATTGCCTCAATTGGCTCAGGGCGCAGCCACTGAAACCCGCCATGACTACAACTATTTCCTTTCTCGGCGGTGCGGGCGATTATGGCTTATGGATGTGAGGTGGAAACAGCCGTTCAATTGATGTTTATACAGCCCCGGGCAAAAAAAGTTGGGCATCGGTTGACGCTTCCGTCCCGGTACCGGAGGTGACCCGGCCGTGGGGCAGTCCAAATTTACACTCCGAGAAAATCTTGAGATTTACGAGACAGCCCTATTCCGCAACGAAACTCTTTCAATTATTGTTTTAGTTTTATAGTCTACTGCTATATAAGTGGCGGTTAGTTGCTGGTGTCGTGAACAGACTTGAGTCACTTCTATGAGAGCTCCACTCAAGCATATGTTGGTGATAGAATCCCGCCGGGGTTCCATCACTGGTGCCTGCCAGCGCCGGACCCTTGCAAAGCAAAGCCGTCATAACATGGCTGGTGCACAAGCTCCTGTAGGAACAGATCATAGAATGGCCCAAGCTCGCAGCGCATCCACCTGCTTAGCCCCAAGCTTTTAATTCGTTGCCGTCGGGACTTTTCTCTCTTCTTCCATTCTCTTTGCTCATCAAACCAAAAAAGACACGAATCACTTGTGGGAAAACACCACAATCCTGTGGCATTTCTCATCTGCTTCTTTTCCCATAACAATGCCTCCCTGAGCTATTTCTTTTGATTTGGGAGCTTCTTATGAGGATCTGAAGCAAACACCAAGCAGACACAACCCTTTTTGTGTCCCAGCGCCCTCGCTGTCCTGCCCACACAAGATGTCGTCGGAAGTTATGGACGCCTTCTGGCGGGCGCCACCAATGGCAAGGTGAGCATGAACACCCGAGTCCGGGTCGGTTGCCGGCTGCGCAAGCTGGCAAGCAACACGGTGCAGAAGTTTCTCCCCTGTTGTGGAATGCATATACCAACTCTTTTTGTGATGCTTCAGGACATTGGCCTCGGCTATCCTTATCACCTCGATGGGCATCTACTTTGGCCCTCTGCCCTCCACCTGGTTCTATTTCACCGAGGACAGGCTCTTCCGGCTGCCTCCTGAGATATGGCGGTTGGCC